TCTTAAATAGAGTCTTCTAGCTATACCTACCTTATATTACTTTAACTCTATATACTCTATAAGAATTAAGACTAATATATTAGATAGTATTATTATAGGTATCTTATCTTAAGAATACTTAGATAAGTAATAGTATCCTATTATATTCTATAGCTATATTCTAGCAGGAGCAGAACTTAACTAGGAGATCTATAATAAGAAACTATTTGCTATCCTCTAAGCTTTTAAAAAATAGTAGGTAGAATTAACTTTAATTATAACTTAGATCTAAGTGTGCTCTAACTACTAGTTACTAGAATATTTTATAATTACTAAGGTTCTTAATATATATTAAGCCTATTAGGTAGAAGTATTAAGCCTATTTAATTTCTAGATTAAGTATATGCCTAGTAAGTAAAATAAATATACTAATATCCTAAGCTAATATAAATAAGACTTAAGTAACCTTAAGGCAGCCTAGCTAGATAATTAATCTTAAGTATTACTAGGTTCCTACTAACTATACTCTAGCATTAACTCTAACTTAGCTAAGTAATACCTAGAAATAGCAGTAGTAATAACCCTTGCCTCTATAGAAAAGAAGATAAAACTTAACTTGCTAGAAATAGTTAAAGCTATTCTTTAAGTAAACTATAATAGTTTCCTCTAGAAATATTAAGCCCTACTAGAAGGGTATTAGATTTACTATAGCTTATTATTATATAAAAACTGCCTATATATACCTATAGATCCCTTACTCTGCCTTATATATAATAACTACCTCTACTATATTATAAACTATAACCCTAACTTCTACTAGTAGTAGAACTACTTTCTTAAGTAGACGCCCTAGCCTTATATATCTACTAAAGGTCTACTACTACCTTTCTTAATGCCTAGACCTTCTCTATTAGAATACCTACCTTCTTAGTAAGCCTCTCTAATATCTCTTAAGCCTATATATTATAGGTAGGTTATATATAGAAGTAGTATAGAAGAATACTAGTTACTAATATCTTTTTAAGTTATATAGTTACTACTTATATAATACTAGAAAGCTTAAGCACTGCCTAATAAATATTGCGCTATATATCTATATATACCTTCTCTATAGTAGTAGCTTCTCTAGCTAAAATCCTCTCTTTATCTTCTACTAACGCCTTAACCTATATATTAAGCGCCTTCTTAAGAGTAGTATAACGTGCTTACTGGGTTCGTGGGCCACCTGGTCTAGTGGGCCACTTTTGCCAAGACCACACCAAAATACTACTACTACCTTAATGCCTCCCCAACAACACCAGTTAGACGCGTTGAAAGAAGCTCAGGTACAGCTTGCACTCCAGGCTCTTAAACAAGACGCGAATCTCTCAGAGCGACGCGCTGCAGCTATCTACAACGTGCCCCGAACTACTCTAAGCAGACGACGCGCGGGACAGCCCTCAAGAGCTGATTCTATGCCTAGCCGACGGTATTTGGACGAGCACGCGGAGGAGGCGATTGTTGATCATGTTCTTTACCTCATACAGCGAGGAGAACCCCCTCGCTTGTCAGATGTGGCTGATATGGCCAATTTGCTGCGAGCAGAGCGCGGAATGGCCCCTGTTGGCCGAGACTGGCCCAGTACGTTTGTTAAGCGTCAACCAAAGCTTAAAGTAAAGTTTAGCCGCAAGTACGACTACAAGAGAGCCCTCTGCGAGGATCCTGAGATAATACAAGGCTGGTTCAGCCTGGTAGCCAATGTTAAAGCTAAGTACGGCATCGTGGACGAAGACACGTACAACTTCGACGAGACTGGCTTTGCTATGGGCCAGATTACCCCTGGAGCAGTTGTTGCAGACGCAGAGAACCCAGGACGAGCAAAGCAAGTCCAGCCAGGCAGTAAAGAGTGGGCTACGTTAATCTTGGGCGTGAATGCTGCAGGATGGGCTATTCCACCCTTTATTATCTTCAAAGGCAAGAAACACCTCTCCAACTGGTACAAGGACGAAGATCTGCCCCTAGACTGGGTAATTGGGGTCTCTAGAAACGGCTGGACCAACAATGAGCTTGGTGTTGACTGGTTGAAGCACTTTGACAGGCATACTAAGGCGCGTACTGTTGGGACCCACCGTCTGCTACTTATAGATGGCCACGAGAGCCACCAGTCAGCAGCATTCCTCCAGTACAGCAAGAACAGCAAGATTATCACCCTTACTATGCCTGCTCACTCATCGCACCTTCTCCAGCCGCTTGACGTGGGTTGTTTTGCCCCTTTGAAGCTGGAGTATGGGCATCAGGTCAACAAGCTCTTGCGCAACCGGATCAACCACATAGACAAGCAGACGTTCCTGGTATGCTTCAGAGCAGCCTATAATGCGACTATTACTCCCAGCAACATCCAGGGAGGGTTCCGAGGGGCCGGACTGGTCCCCTTTGACCCAGAAAGGGTCATATCAACCCTTAATGTGAAGCTGCGGACCCCTTCACCCCAGTTGCCCACCAACGACGAGCCCTGGCAGTCTCAAACCCCAAAGAACCTTGTGGAATTTGAGTCGCAATCGACTCTGATTCGAGAGAAGTTTAAGAATCACCAGGGCAGCTCACCAATCTCTATCTATGGCGCGCTTGAGAGCTACGCAAAGGGGGGGACACAGGTAGCGTACGAACTGGCTTTGCTAAGAAAAGAGCGTGCCCAGCTTCAAGAGGCTCTAGCAGCTGCTACAGAGCGCAAATCACATAAAAGAAAGCGAATACAGACAGAGGGAAGTGTTACAGTTGAAGAGGCACAGCGATTGACTGCCCTAAAGGAGTTCAGGTCGCGTGGTGATGGAAAGAAGGGCAAGAAGCAGGTGCAGGGTAAAGGAGGTGAACCATCCCAACGACGCTGTGGAACGTGCGGAGAGACAGGGCACAACGCGCGAACATGCAAGAATGATGTAGAAGTAGTCTCTGAGTAATATTACAGCTTGTTTTATCTTGTATAGAGCTAGATTGGGCCAATGCAGGCCAAAGTAGGGTGTGATGGGGGAGGGTCTTGGCAAAAGTGGCCCACTAGACCAGGTGGCCCACGAACCCAGTAAGCACGTTACTTAGAACTAATATAAATTAGAACCTTTCTAGGTTAGTATATAGTTATAAGTAGGATAAGGATATTATAATATTACTAGTTAATACTTCTTATTCTACTATATATAGTATATATACTAGAATAAAGTTCTTAAATTAAACTTCTATTTAATCTAATTGCCCTTTACTAGGGCATATATAGAATAAGAGTAGATAACCTAATAGGCTACTATAAGAGCGCTAAGAGGGACTAGTATTAGTATAGTAACTAAGAAATAAGCCTAGAGAAGAATTAGTAGAGGCCTAAGTTAAAAGTAAGGATATTAACTTATAGTAAAAAGTAGTATCTATTAGAGAATATTAGTATATAGGCATAATTATTTATACCTTACTACTAGCTTAGGCGCTAAGCCTAGTTAGTTATACTAGAGATGCAAAATTACTATATAAATAGTATTATAGACTTATAAGCCCTCTAACTTAGCTAGGTATAGCTTTATTAGCTAATGCTAAGCACGCGCTATATATAAATATAGGGTCCTTTATTAATAATTATATAATAAATAAATAATAATAAGGCATAAATAAAGAGATAGTAAGATAGAGCAGAGCTAGCTTAGAACTAAGTTAGTATAGGGATAAGTATAAGGCTAATTAACTATATTAGGGATAATATAACTATAAAGGAGAGAGGTAATATAAGAATTAACTACTAAAATCTTAAATCTTATAAATAAGATACTACCTAACTTAAATAACCTCTAACTCCCCTCTAACTTAGTTCTAACTTACCTCTATTACTATTTCTTATCTATCTATAGCTAACTAAGACTTATAGGTATAAAAGGCAAGCCTATAGTAGTTCTAGAATAGATAGTTTTTAAGTATTCTTTATATAAGACCTATAGAAATAAGATTCTCTCTAGTTATTAACTTTTCTAGTGCTTCTATATACCTTATAGTAGAATTAGAACTATATTAGAAGATCTTATTACCTGCGTTACTATAGCTATAGCCTTATAGTTATACTTACTAGCACTTTAGTATAGCATATTTATCTTATTAAAAGTAGTATTACTAATAGTAATATTTATAACTATCTTACTTCTACTACTAGTAAGCTAGCCTACTATAATATTATTTTTCTTATTTATATATTTAAGACTATCTTTTTAAAGTAGTACTATAGCCTTCTATAATATTTAAAGAGTATACTAGTACTAGGTAGTTACTTTATTATTAGTATATCTATATACTTTATAAGTAAAGCTATTACTAGCTTAAAGCTTTAGCTTCTAGTTTAGTTTTAGACTCTACTATATATAAAGGTGTTATTAAGCAAGTAAGCTTATATTTAGGTAATCTATTATATAGACTACTAGTTCTATATACTATAAGATAATACTTGTCTTAAATATAAAGGAAAATAGTATAGGTTATATAACCTTGCTAAAGCAAGCTCCTCCCTTAGTCTGAGCAGCTCTATATTAGCCCCTTAGCGCCTGGAGCTTCCGAGCTCCTGACAACGGAGCCACCAGCTTGATTGGTAATCCCACAACCAAGCTGCGCGACTAGGGCGATACGCTCGATTGTGCGACATACCCCCTAGGTGATCGCCTATATAGGCGAGCACCTGACTAACTATTGGCGTGATCGCGCTTTGAATTAATACTCAAAGAAATATTATGCTGTTTCGAGCTTCTAGGCAGTGTTTCAGGAGCTTACTCATACTTAGCTTACAAGTTCGGCTGATTTGTTTGTGTTGTGAGATTAGCGCGTGTGGCGTGTCCCCAGGCAGCTCGCGCAATGCTGTGTTGTATCGAGCTTCTGGGGAGCTGTCGGCATGCTCATCCGGTTAATAATCGGGAAGCGTAAGAATCTTGGCGGTCCAGTTTGGCAGAGCCGAGCGGTTGGACTTCTTCCAGCTGCTCATTTTCGTATCGAGGCGCAACGAGCAGTTGGCGTCTTTCAACTTGCTCTATACATTCGTCTCAAATCGAGCTTCGAATTAGTTGTACAGTAGCTCGTTTGATCGTTTCAGTGTGACGTCAACGTTTCTGTTTTGCGTTTGCTCTCACCGTCAATCTCGTCAGATGGGAGCAAGAAAACAGGGTGCCAGTCGCTCGCGCGCATCACGTGCGCGCAGCCGGCCTTCACTCTCACCGGGTCTCGCTCCATATATACGAGCGCCCGGCGCCAGTTTTGAGGCTCTTCAAGTCCACTTAACAACAATGGCAGTAAGTATACTGTTTTACACCTCTCCGCGCTTTCCACCGTCTTTCTCAAGCTCGTTTTGGTTTTGTCATGCCTTGTGAGCTTGCTTGCTGGTGTTGGCTTGGCGTGAATTGACGTTGTCGATTTCCGGTTGGCTTTTCATTGGACGGTGTCCAATTGAGCTTCTCGTGTCCTGTTTCCAGCTCTTTTTAACCTTTTGCTAATCCTTATATAGCGTCAAACCAAAGCCGCCCGCGTTGCCCGCACCGCCGCCGCCACCGCCGCCAAAGCCGCCAAGCGCCGTGGCGCGCTGCTGGCGCCTGTGCCCGCTGCTCGCCCCGTTGCCCCCGCCGTCGCCGCCGCCATCGCCGAGCTGCTCGCCGCCGCGCCAGCTGCTCCCGCGCGCGCCCGCTCGGGGTCGCCTTCGGGCGGGTTGGCTTCGGCCAACCGAGTCTCGCGACTCCCCCGGGCGGGGTCTCTTTCGCCCGCCTGGGCCCCGGCCGCGCTGCCCGCATGGGCTCGGGCTGCTCGCCCGCCGCCGACGCCTGCGCCCTCCGCCCTCGCCGCCGCCACCGCCGCCAGCTGCTCGCCGCCGCAGCGTGCTGCCCTGGGCGCTCCCGCGCCACCCCCGCCTCGCGCCGCTGCCCGCGCCCCCAGTTGCTCCCTGGCTGCCGGCCGGTCAGTCTGTTGGCGCTCGGCGCCCGACCCCCTGCGGCAATTGCTTTGCCGCGCAGCTGAGCAGTAGTTCAGCTGCTCAGTGCCACGATGTGGTGGGGGGTCGGGGCCGGCGTTGCTCCAAGTGTGCTGCTGGGCACAAGTGCCGTCCGCTGTAAGTAGACTTGGTGTTTCGAGCTTGTGGGACTTAGGCTGATTGCTTGTTTGTAGCCCCCGGGAGCTCCAGCCGGTGGCTGAGGAGCTCGCTGACTTGTTGCTGGCCTCGCCCACTACCACCACCGTAAGTAATCGAGCTTCTAAACTCTGGTTGAGTTGAGCTAATCGAGCTTGTAGGAGGTCACCGAGGTGCGCACCTGCGCCCGGGTGGTCAGGCGGCTCCTTGGCAAGGGTAAAACCTTCGCCTAGAGGACTTGGCCACCTGGGAGCAGGGCGCTGTCTGTCCGCTGCTCGGTTTGTTCGGGTGCTGGGGTGTTGGTTCTTCTGGGGGGAGCCGAGCTTGCTGGCTCCTTGTAGTGCGCTCGAAAGAGCTGCCTCTTGGGGTTGGTGAGCTCGGTCCCAAAACCTATGGGGAGGGGGTTGTCCTCCCCAGACAATAAACAATCTTCTGCCTCTCTATTGACCTGCTCTTTTACTGTGACACTAACCTTGTGTAGGTTCAGATGGGTCAAAAAGCGCTCATGAGCCTGCCTGGGGAGCGCTTTTGTGAGCCCGTCTGCGGGCATATCGCTCGTTTTCAAGTATCGAACTTGAAACGTTCCACGGGCGTGCTCTTGTTTGAGCCACATATTTTGTATGTCCACATGGCGCAGCTTAGTGGTGAGTCGCTCGCTCTCTTGTACAACAAGTCGTATCGTTTGCTGATTGTCACAAAATATCTCCCAAGCAGCTCCCAAGTCAAGCCGGAGCTCGTTCAGGAACCGTTTTAGAGCTACCGTTTCCTTAGCGACTTGCTCGAGTGCGAGCAACTCTGCTTCCGTCGTCGACGTTGTTACCGTTGCCTGCCGAGCTGCTTTCCATATAATCGGACCGCCAAAGAGCTGCACAATATACCCCTGGGATGATCGTCTTGTCGCTTTATCGTCGGCGAATGATGCGTCTCCGCAAATGAGTAACTGGCTGCCTAAATGAGCACCGTAGCGTATGCCCAGGTGCTTGGTCCGGTAAAGGTATGCGATGACTTGATCGGCTGCCTTAAAGTGAGCAGCTCCCGGGTTGGTTAGGTGCTTCGATAACTGAGACGAAGCATACGCGACGTCGGGACGGATCATAATCGCCGTATACAAGATGGAGCCGACGCGTTCTTGAAATGCTTTAATTGCCTGTTTTGAAGCTTCTCCATCGCTTATGAGTAGCTCCTCTGCTGGAAGCGGCGTATGCGGGAAGGCTCCGTTACCTGCTATATTGAACTTCTGAGCGAGCTTGTCAATATAGGCGTTGTGCGCGAGTGTTATTGTGCGAGCTGCTTGATTGCGTACGATACGTATGCTAAGAAACCACTCTGTGGGTCCCTGATTAGTAATCTCATATTTCTCTATGAGAGAGCTTATTAGACGCCCTGCTACTGCTTGATTGTCCTTGTGGTGGAGGAGGAGGATATTGTCGACGTAGAAGAGAAATAGTATACGCCTTTCCTTGTCAAAGAATTGGCAAGGTTCTTCTTTTGACGCCTCCAAACTGAGCTCCTTGAGGGCTCTGGAGAGCTCTTTATACCAGAGCAACGGAGAATCGCGCAGCCTATATAGTGCCTGCATGAGCTTTACGCACTTGCTGTCTTTTCTGAATCTATCAGGAAGCTTATAGAGCACGTTAGGTTGGTCTTGGTGGCTCGCGTTGAGGAAGGCTCCGACGAAATCGTACTGACTGATTTCTAGGTCAAACTGAGCAGTGATCGCCATTGCGGTGTGAAATGAGCGCGCTGCGAGCGTCGTGGCATACGTTGAGTTGATTGATTTAATGGCTTGTAGGTCTCTGCGCACACAAATCTGTGCCTTACACTTAAGGAAGTAGCTGTCTTGGTCGAACTTGTATGTGAATACCTACTTGAGCGGTAGGGGCTTAACTGGCGAGCTCGCTCTCTTGACCTCTATCTAGGTACCCCTCTTTATGAGCATGAGGATCTCTTTGACTGTAGCTTCACGGAATAGAGCTCTGTACTGGTGGTTAGTTAGATCTTTCTAAAGTTTGGGGAGCGTGGGGAGCTTGCTGCTGTGTGTATGCTGCTCGGCAGTCTTAGGTGGCTTCTCTATACGCCGCACTGCTGCTGTGATTATTGCGTGTACAGTAATGAGCTCCCTGCTCTACCTGCCCTGCTTTATTGCGTAATTAAACAAGGGCTTAAGGATCTTATTATACCCGTGAGTTGCCTCAGGATATATTACTGAGTACTGTCCTCTTTTATTATTATCCGCCAGCTTGTTGAGCTCCTGGTTGCGGAGTCGACGGCTTGATTGGGTTGCTGTTGGTCGGTTTCCTTGTTGGTTTGAGCTCCCTGCTGATGGCGTGGTGCTCTGCTCAGATCCTATTATTCTGCGAGTAGGAATTAGAACAATTGGTGATCTGGCTCTGGTCGGTTGGCTGACCTGGTGCCGATTCGGATCGCGCACCTGAGAACTATCTGGCATGCTCCCTTCTATGGTTGAGTGCACTTCCTGTGAGCTACTAGTATGATCTCCCTCCAAGGTTGGAGCTTCCCTGCCGGCGCCGAGCTGCTTGGGCTCTGGCGTCCGATTGGGGGTGAGCAGTCCTATCTCTTGTCGTCCTACATGGATCTCCAATGACTTGCTGGCCAAGCTAGTTGCGCGTGTGGTGTCCACTTCAGCAGCTCGCTTAACACTGGATTCCTGGCTGTCCAGCAATTGAGTTCCCTGTGGAGCTTCTCCACCCCTGAGCTGTTGCTTGGTAGGTGACGTATTGAGTGATAGATCTTGCTCTACATTGATGGGGAGCTTGATTGCTTCTCCCGCATCGACTATATTGCCAGGTTTGTGGAGGATATCAATGAGCAGCGTCGCTTCCTCCATGGTGATTGCTGAGGCCTTATTGCTCTTATTATAATAGAGCTCCTTATTAAACGTTACATTGCGCGTTGTGATCACCTGGTCAAGTATAGGGACCTATATGCGATATATGTTGGATGCTTGGTAACTAACAAGATACCTAATATGGCCCCTTGGAGTGACTTTGAAGCCCCTCCTGTTCCTGCTAGCTGCTCGTTCCTTATTTAAGGGGTACGCTTGGTAGCTGTAGGCGTAAATCCCGCTCCAATTGGGTCTTAGATCTGCTGTTACCCCTCTGATCTGCTCGGGTTTATACTATTAAAAGTACTGACTAAACTATTTATTGAGCTGCTTGTTAGGGCTACGCAGATTGTTTGCATGTGTTGGGCACATATTGTATAGCTAGGCAGCTGCCTCTACAACTTCTGGCTAGAGCTTCTCAGGCAGGTTTGCCCCGCTTAACATTTTAATCGCTTTTGTGATTACCTCCTGGCCTGCTTGTTCAGGCCTGCTGTTTGGTTCGTGCGTATATGGAGGCTCTCGTTTAATATTAATGCCTTCTTTGAGCGTCTAATGCTCATACTTGGAGCTCCCTTGCCATAGTATTGTCGCTGTATTGTTGTCCTGTGTGATCTTGCAGATTTTGAGCTTGTACTGGGTGTGTACCTAGCTTAAAAAGTTGTGGAGTACCTGGAGGAGCTCTACAAGCGTCTTTCCTTGGAGGCAAAATACAAAGAGCTTCCTACTATAGTACTCCTTGATCACTAGGATCCACAGTTTACTGTTTCGTCCTATTGGCATATTGAACAGATCCCAGCCAATTCTCCAGAATGGACGGCTGGGCTTTTTGCGCTTCTGGCGGGAGATGACCTGCTTGGCGTGCGTCGTTGCGCAGTGCTTACACTGTTTTCTGGGCACGCTGTTAATACGTACTCCGCGTGCTTGTTTTACTGGAGCTTTGAGAGCTTCTGGGCCAAGGTGACCTGCTCGCGCGTGCCAAAGCTCTGGGGACGAGCTCCTTGGTGAGGTGGCGTATGATTGTTTGATAGGTATCACAGAGCTTATAAGAGGCAGTGGGTAGTATGACAGTGGCTTGTATTTAAAGAAAGTGAGGTTGTGAGCGCGCTGTAGAGTAGCACATATGATGCTTGAACTGAGATCCTCCACGTAACCTATGCGGAGCGTTGTATCGAGACCTAGGTACCAGAGACCGCTGTCGTTTAAACGAGCTTCTAAGATTATGTTCATATGGAAGTTTTCTACTAGTGCGACGTTTGTAAGGAGCAGGTCCTTTGTGTATGGGCTGCGCTTTCCGTGGAGCGCGTTCTTGAATAAATGATCACCTTGTGCACTAATGGGGTACGCGGCCGTGCCTGCCTCTACTGTATTGTTTTCCTCTGGTGGGCGTTGAGTACCAGGTACAAAGAACTTTGCGCTGTTGACCAGGTGCGTAGCTGCTCTGTTGTTGAGGATTGTACTGTCTGACAGTGGGTGGGCATTAAAGTCTATTAGGTTGTATACTCTGGAGGGTTCTGAGCTGCTGGGTGTATGGGGCATAAGCTCCCTTATTGATTTAGGGTTAATTAAAGCAGCTTATATATTGCCTGGGAAATTAATGTGTGGAGCAACTGGTTTGGTGTTTAGCTGCGCGTTTCTGGATGTTGCAGCAGCGCCTGGTGTAGTCTAGCTAAGACGCTTAATTGCCTTCTTTGTCTCCTGGTGCTCGCGCATATTGAGCTTCTGGAGTATCTCTGAATGGCGCTTTTCTGATAGGTTAAGTGGAGGGGTAGATAAGCCTCTGACCGCAGTCTTAAGTGCTTGGCACTTGGTTGCCTTCTACTTGTGGGTCTTGCCTTTGAACCTGCATGGGCACGAGTACCCTGGGCTCTTTTGTGAGCTGTTGGTAACTTGTTTGGGTGCTCCAACTATATTGGAGTGGTTACCAAAAGTAGCAAAAACTCCAGGACTGTCCTTCCCTGATCTGATGGTATGCTTGTGCATTAGTCCACCAAATACTCGGCTAACCTGATTGAGACTGAGAGAATTGAGCCCTAGAATAGTGTCTGAGATGATCCTTTGGTGCATAGTGCGGCCCTAGTCAGGTGCGATCTTGTACGATATTGCGTCTAAGAAGTCTTGGATAGTGAGATCCCCCTCTACGTCGGCGAGCTCGTATGATTTGGATTGTAAGTACAGGAACGTCTATTTTTGATACCAGTCCTGGGGAGCTACTTGTCCCTGACGAGCAGCTCTAAGGTGCGCGCGATACTCTGCTCGTACTTGGTTTAGCGTGCTAACCCTTGTGGGAGCGAGCTCTGTACGTAGGGCTTGGATGAGCGATTGTAGAGTTGTAGAGTTTGTAGCAACGAGCTGCATTATCACTGATGACATGATCGCCGGGGCAACTGTCGCGTTGACCTAGTTCCATAGCTTCTGGAGGCGCTCTGCCTTGCTTGCCTACTCGCTTGATTCTACTTTGAAAAGAGCGAGCTGCTGGTTGTATGTGACTTGATCTATTGGCTTGCCCGTGTACGCTGAGGCGTCTGGTAGCGTCGAGGTGGGTGGGGCGGCTGGTGCTGATATAGGTAGATCTTCTGCCGTGCCACTGAGCAGCTCGTTTTGTCCTGTTAGCGCAGCAGACGCTGAGCGAGTTAGCCTGCTGCTTGTAGCGCTGTTTGATGAGAGCGGAGTTGAGCTTGCTGAGTGCTGTGTGGTGCTTGGCAGAGGTCTGGAGGCAATTGCGCGCATGGGAGGGAGCTGGGGAGCTCCTTCTCGCATGCTTGGAGCGTCCCGAGCGTCTGGGTCAACGAGCTCCTAAACGTCTTTGAGGCGCGCGTGCCAAGTTAGTTGTATATACCAATTGGGCCAATCGCTTCGCGACTTGAGCTGATAGGCTCTATTAGGTATTTGAGCATTTCCGCCCGCAATGATGAGCTCGTTTATGGCGTGTGGGGCTCACACACCCAGTGAAGAGGAATTGCTTGTGTCTCGTTGGTGCAGGGAAGGAGGAGGAAAAATTGGAGCGGCTGAATATCAGCTGACAAGCTCGGCTTGAGTACGCAGGGAGATCACTGTTTTCTTGTGGAAGCCGGGCTTATAACTGTTATCGAGCAAGTAAGCTTATATTCAGGTGATCTATTATGCGGACCACTAGTTCTATATACTACGAGACGATACTTGTCTTAAATACAAAGGAAAATGGTGTGGGTCACATGACCTCGCCGAAGCGAGCTCCTCCCTCGGTCTGAGCAGCTCTATATCGGCCCCTTAGCGCCTGGAGCTTCCGAGCTCCTGACAACTGAGCCACCAGCTCGATTGGTAATCCCACAACCGAGCTGCGCGACTAGGGCGATATGCTTGATTGTGCGACAAAAGGCTATAGGTAGCTTTTTTATTATAACACTCTTATAGAATATATTTAAAACTATAGCTAATAGTACTATAGTTCTAGCTTATATTCTTTATTATATAGTCTAGACTACTCTAAGCTAGTTATAGAACGCTGCTACTAAGTAAGCCTAGGCTGCTACTACTTATATTAGGCTCTACCTTATATAGTCTACTCTACTTAAAGTATATAACTTTAATCTCTTACTATTAAGCACCTTACTTTCTACTTCTTAGCTGCTAGTAAATATAATAGCTTTTAAGCTAATAAGCTAGATAGAGTAGCAGCCTCTAGTAAGCTGCTAGCGCTAGAGCTAGCTTTTTAAAGCTATTGCGCGCTAGTTAATACTAGAGTAGGCTTTTCTACTTTAAGAGCGCTATAACTTTACTTTAGTAGACGCTATATAACTAATTATTACTAGACTCTATAGTAGAATATAAGAGTAAGCGCTTTAAGCGCTTAAGGTAGGTTAAAAGAGCTATAATATAGCTGCCTATAACTAGCTAGTAGTTCTTATTAAGCTCTATAGTTAAGAGGTTTATATAAGTGTTTTATTACCTATCTGCTAGTTTTGCTATACTATAGCATTAGTATAGATTAGCTGTTTATAATCTACTTTTAAAGCATATATAGATTATTAACTCTAAGTATACTCTTTATATATTATATATAGGTTATACTAAGTAGCTTAGATATAAAGTAAGTAATAACACGCATATCTATATATAAAGTTCTTTTAAAGCATAGATAGTAAGTAATATTAGTATTATTAGTTATAAATATTAATATTAAAGGTTTATACTTATATATAGAGGCGCAATATAGAAAGCTTAATAGCTTAACCTAGCAACTCTATTAGGTTTCTATCTGCCTGCGTGTTGTATAGAAGTGCTAATAGGTATAAAATATGCGCAAGGTTATGCTATATATTGCTACTAATTTGCATTAAGATTTAGTATTGCGTTAGAGTCTATATAGTTTATTAAAGCTTGCAAAATTATATAGAGTTAGAGTAGAGGTTCTATATAGGCTATAAATAAATTATATAAGGTCTAAATAGTTATAGAATAGTAGTAAGCCTATATTTCTAGAATTATGCTAAAGCTTAAATATCTCTACTCTAACTAAAAAAATCCCCTAATAATATTTAGGGCTCTATATAGTTGCAGCTCTAGAATAGGGCTCTATATAGTTGCAGCCCTAGGATAGAGCTAATCTTAAGTAGGGCCTTAGGATAGGGCTGATCCTAAGTAGGGCTCTAGGATAGAGCTAGAAGACATGTATATTTGCAAGGCTGTTAAACAAAGCACAGTTCGAGCTGTCTTGTTAAGGCTTAAACTTGTACTCGCATTGTAAACGCTTTACTCCTAATCTTCTAGTCTTTAGGTACTGTTATAGTCTTCTTAGCAAGATAGCGCTAAAAAGAAAGGCTCGCCTTTGCGGCTTCTGTTAGTATTAACAGAGTTATAATCTGCTTCTCTAATTAGAACGAGTATTAGGATACGCAAAAACTAATCTAACTAAACCTTTTAGTAGAATACATTTATTTTAAATGCAAATGCTTAATAAATTCAACAGACAGATTGCTAAGAAAAGAAGGATTGTCCTAAAGAAGACTTCTAAACTGCAGCTAGGCTACACTTGCAGCGTCGTTCTTTATCATCTCTTTCAAGTGGTCACAGAGGCCTCTGATTTGTTGCTCAACACTGCCATTGAAAGCTGCGGCCTTCTCAGGATCCCTAGGCGGCGGGCCCATGACAGGAAAGTCAAGACGAGACTTTGCACACCATTCAGTAACCTTGGGCTCCTCCATCCACCTGAGTCTGTTCTCCATAGAAGCCAGAAGCGTTGTAGGGTAATCCGCCGGTACTTTAGTGTACGGGAAAGGGTCGCAAAGATGGTTCTTAAGCTTCTCCTCACTGTAACTACCTTCAACGTGTCCAATAAAAGCAGCACTAAACGTAGGCTGGAAGAACTTTACGTTCTGGATTGTAATGTTTCTGCCATTAAAGACAGGCACAGGTGGCAGGTTTCCTAAACCAGGCGCAGTGCAGTCAATAAAGAGAGTGTCAGGCGCAGGAGTGTATGTGCCCTTCTCTAGAGTAACTGTGTCTGGGTCAATGCGCTTGACTCGTCCCTGACGTATGACGTTCTTGACTTTCTTAACCTCTTCAAACTCTGCCTTTGTAACAATCGCGTGCCTAAACATAGTAGGCTCAATGCTCTTGTCTAGACGGTGGGCATGACCCAGCTTCTCCATGCGATGAAACATTTCGTGAGATGTTTTAGACCCCATGATAATGCTAGACTTCTCTTCTAGCAGTTGTTCAGGGTTAGGCGTAGCCTCTAGAGGCTGAAGGGTAGCGCGTTCTATAAACCAGGAGTCGCGCGGCATAATCCAAGAAATGTCCTTCGGGTTAATGTTTTGAGCTAGCAGCCACGAGCATGCGTCAACTGCAGTTTTGCCAGCTCCAACAATTGTATAGGCACCATAAGGACGCTTTAGTGTTGCTAAAGCGTTAGGCGTGACAAGATTGGCTTTGTCTGAGATCTCATATAAAGGTAGGTTCATAGAGGGAACTGTGACCTTCACGTATGTGGAGTCCACAATACGAGTGTTTGGTCCAACCCGGATGTTCTTTCCTGTGGTAATTGATTGGAACTCTCCATCACCAGTGTAGTTGTGCAGTGGGTAGTAGGTAACGCGACCAGACGGAAGGATAGTAGTGTTCAGGACCTTGGAGTAATAGGCAACAATCTCGTCGCCCGTTGCTACCTCAGCGAGGCCCTTGTTGTATCCAACTTGATCAATCTTCTCATCTCCAAGCTTTCGAGAGTTGACACCGTAGACGTCGGACGGTTGGTGAAGGGTGACAAATGGGTAGGCAACTGTCCAGTGGCCCCCCGGACGGGAATAGCGGTCGACAATGGCCACCGTGATCTCCTTCTTTGCGGAGATCAGGGCATCAACGAAGCCCATGCCCATAGCACCCGCACCGATGACGAGGTAGTCGGGGGATATAGTCTCGGTCGTGTTAGTTCCTGGCATCGTTTCTGAGGTATGGAGGTTGAAAGAATAATCAGTAGTGTTGGGAGAATCTCTTGGGAGATGGTTTGTATATTTGGGACGACGAGATGGCAGTTTGGTGTAGCAAGAAGAGAGAGGAAAAAGTAGATCTATATACATAGGTAGATACGTTGTGGGGCCGGAAAGCTGGTACTAGATTATTGAACAGAATTCAACAGACCGCGACTTCGGCACAATTGTTTCGCTGTCGATATTGGCAGTACCTAGTCCACGGCACCTTGACTTGTCCGTGTATGTTCCCTGTACATTGCTGCCGAGCTTGTTGTTGTGACAAAATTGTCCTCGTCGGTCGGGAGGTCTAGCTTACGGACGTAAACAAGGGCAAGTTCCTGAAAGACCGCGTACGACCGCGATTGTGGCTCAACTTCGATGACGCCGACTGTTTATTGTTGATTACTATTCGGCCTCTTTCGAACCTTTTTGATTCGGGTAATCCCGGCATGTTTGCCAAAAACACAATCAGTAATCATCTTCTTGTTCCGAGACCATAACTTCAGTTGCTGCATCAGTATAAGCATGCTGTATTACAGACGTCGCTCTGGCTTGGGAAGCTTTAGGTGTGTATCAGCTTCTTCTACCTATAGCTGGCAGAGACGCGAATTCATTTGAGAGTTGAGAGGCTGTTGAGCACGACTGCTTAGTCTGGAGGAATACAGGACTGTTTTCGTGATAGTCTTGGCGCGGACCGCTTTAAATAATCTAACGTGAGCCTGGTTCGACGTGTTCGGCCACACGCTTGTCGCACGGCTGTCAATATAATGGGGACAAGTATCAAAGAGATGGGCCGGAGCGATGTTGTACCGACTCCTTAAGGTGAGAATTGAAATTTTTAATTGGTTTGGCATTCTGTGAGGATGATTTTAATAATGTTGAATAGTCTTAGATAGTTGCAGCGTCTTATGCTCGTGTGGATTTTAGGACTGCAACTCCTTATTAAGTCTTAGTGTCCCTTACGGATTGGTCGACAGCACGGGTGAGTCAACCACCCTGCTAAGAACCTACGAGCTCATGGCTGAGGATGATGTGGATAGAGTCCCTACGTAACGTACCTCACGGGCAAATGGATCACCGAGCGAGTGGATCACTTTTGCCAAGCCCCCATCAAAACTCACACAGGTGCGGTCCGGTCCGTGCGGAGAAAGTGTTGCCGGACCTGAGCAGCATACGGGGCGTCAGTACACAAAGTGCTTCATTTCCAGGGACACGCCTGACGCACGAGCTCGCGGCGCAAATCAACTGGCTACTTTTGCAAAAACTACTAAAAGCCACACTCGGTCCCACTACAATGATGCTTTTCAGGACCAAACACAGCTCCTGTTCTCTTAATCATAAATATGATTCCCACTCTCAAAGCTTGTCTCCTAATAAATAGCTTCACGCTTGCGTTAGGGGCGGTACTAAAGAGTCGTGCGGAGGTATTGAAATCTTAGCACAGCGTTATCTGGAATGTAAGGCTCACACCAAACTAGAATACGACATGTCAGTTCAACGTGAACCTGGATACTGTAAGTTTGCTGGTACCTAGCTTCCTTCAATAGCACTAACGCGCTAACCTGTATCAGGCGGATATTGCAAACACCAGTTATGTGCACATGATGAAGAATGCCAAACTTCCTGCTTCAGGAAGGACTTACCGCTACGCAATTAAAGCCCCTCTCGAGAAAGAAAAGCCACACCTCTTGTTCCTTCACGGCTTCCCAGAGTCTTCGTATAGTTGGATAAATCAGATCGAATACTTTACTAGGCGTGGCTATGGTATCATAGCTCCAGACCTTCTAGGCACCGGTGGAACAGATAAGCCCATTGAACTGGAGGCTTACAATCTAAAGACGATGTCAGCTGAAGTGGCTGAACTGCTCGATTGCGAAGGCATTGAGAAGGTAGTTGCAGTTTCGCATGACCTGTAAGCATTTACCATGCCCGACTTTGGTTTAGGTCAAGGAATTTAGACTGACGTGCCTTAGCGGATCTTTCCTACTGTCCCGCTTACACACATATCAGTCCAAGTACCTTTCAGCTCTTGCTCTTCTAGATATCGGCTACATAGGCCCTGGCGTAGATCTGAACCAAAGCTACGTCGAAGCTTATAACAGTATAACACAAGCCGGACTCGGATACCCTGTTCTTGGGTACTGGTACTACCATAACGAACCAGACGCACACACCCTTATGGATGCAAACGTAAACCTAACGTCACACTCTAGTATGTACACGAGCTGACAATAATACAGTTAAATTCTATGTACTCCCTGTACTATACATCCAACACAACGAATTGGGTGGAACACTTCAACAAAGTCGGTATGCTCCAAAAATGGCTAGCAGCGGATCAAACGGCGGAATATGGCAACGAGTTCATCACCAACTCAACCCGAGAGCAATGGGTATCCATCACTCGAGCACAGGGAGGTCTTGAGGCCCCTTTAAAATGGTACAAAGCATTCTTGCAAGGTATCAACTCAGCAGATGAGGACGGTAAGACGTATCCCGGATGCTCTTTCGTTTCACAGATCTAATGCACTGTAGACATTCGATCGACGTCGGGAAAAATTGAGCAGCCTAGTCTCTTCATCGCGGCGGAACAAGATACAGTCGGTATCCCAGCAGCCCAATTGAGCGCCATGCTGCCCTACGCCCCGGCAATGCAGATCAGAACCATTGATGCTGGACACTTTGTTCATGTTGAGAAAGCTCGAGAGGTTAACGAGGTACTCTATGATTTCTTCCAGTCCCTGTGACAATAAGATTATGTTTTGCTACAGAACTCTAGACCAGGTGCAGCATTAGCGAACGGCTGGTACAGTCTGTTCTTCGGTTTTGAGACTTATTAGATAGATTGCTTGTTGCTATGAAAAATTGCTCTCGATGGTCGGTCTTCTGCGTAAATCGCGCTTTTCGCTTCGTCCTGCAAGATCAACGAACTACTATGCTGCGCACCATCTCAGCCTATGTCCCCCCATAGCACACCTGTGGCTTCTATTTCGTCTGTGTTGTCGAATACGGCCGTAAATATGGCCTCTGGAACCTTATTCCATGAACTTGTTAAGCAGTCGCTGTTTGCGCAACGCCACATTCTCTGATTTAGTCCATCCCACCCTAAGATAAATACCGGGAGGGACCATAGATAAAGTTTTAAGTAAAATTACCGCATAGTCATGAAAATTATCGATAGACAAGTACTGCAACATTGACAAGAGGGAATTGAGCTCAGTTTTCGGTTTGTCAAGATTTCCAAAGCGGTTCGGGGCTGGAGACATGCTGGCTTAAAAGGGAGGCATCGCTTAACGGAAGTGAACGCGGTCAGCTAAGCCTAGAGATAGGAACAACTGAGCCTTTGAATTGATGGAGTGATTGTTGACGCGAAAGCTTCATAACACTAAAAAATAAATTGCTAAGCAAGTAAACTTTCTCTATATATAGCTTTTAAAACTATAGCTATGCTACACTTGCAAGATTATTCTTAATAATTTTATTAAGCTTATTACTGCAACCTTAAACTTTTTACTTTAGGCTAGTATTAAAGACTATAGCTTCCTTAGAATTACTAGGTAGGGTACCTATAATTAGAAAATTAAGACAAGACTTTTTATACTAAGCTATTGTTTTTAGTTTAGTTATCTACCTAAGCTAGTTCTTTAGATATAGATAAAGAGTAGTAGTATTATAGTAGTAGGAATATGCATATTTAAAGTATAGTATATAAGTCTATCTCCCTAATAGCCTATTAGGACTTGTCTTTAAGCTATAGCTCTATATTATATACCTGCCCCTTATATCTTACCCTAATAGAGTATTAAGGCTCTGCGCTAAGTAACTAATACTCTACTATAGTATAATCTATTAGGTTAATATAGTATAGAATAGGCATATAAAGTAAGTTCTTAAAGTTGCTACTATTATAAGTAGCTTTAATATGCGCAGTAAAAGTAGTACTAAATAGAAGCTAGCTAAACTTTATATTCTAGATTATAATATTTCTACTATTAAAGATAGAAATAAAAAGTATATTTTTAAAACTAGGTATAGTATAGTTAATAAAGAAAGTATTAAGCATAGAAGAGTATATACTCTTTTCTAAAGTAGCTTAATCTAGATTAATATAGATAATTTGTTTCTAGTATAGAATATTTTAAACTTTTCTTACTAGTCTAAGCTTAGCTAATAAAAGAATTATATGCTTAAATATAGTAGGCTTTATATTCTTATCTATATAGAATATAGGCTTTAAAGCGTTCTAATAAGTTATTAAATATTATAGCACCTATAGTAGCCTTAGCTTTTTTTACTATTAACTTCTTAGAGTTAAAAGTAGCCTCTAGAGTTTAAAAAGTACTATATTCTATAAACTAAGAGTTATATAGCATAATCTAGAAGATATTGTTTAAGTTAATACCTTATATTAGTATCTATATATATATATTAACTATAGTTTTTTTTAGCTTTAATAATTATATAAGCTAAGTAAAGTTATTTTATTATTACTAAGTTATTAAGTATAATAAAGTTAACTATATTTAAGACTTTATATAAAAGTAAGCCTATAGTAGAAACCTTAACTTTTAAAGATATATTATCTATAATATAAGTATTTAGCTTAACTTAGATAACTTTTCTAGTTATTATTAATTAAAATTCTCTAATATACTTTATAGGTAAGCTAATTACCTAGGTAAGCTAATTACTTTTACTAAGACTATACTAAACTTTATATAACTTATAATAGCTTAATATAAGTATTATAATCTATTATAGCCTAGCTTTACTTTATATTATAGTATAACTAAAGTTACTTTTATTAGCAAAGTAATACTAGAGAATATGCTTATAGGTGCTTTTTTAATCTCTTCTTAATAATAAAGTAAAAGAGTATAATATACTTTTCTTAATCTTTTACTTTATAGAGAGTAAAAAAAGTAGTAAAGTATTATATATATTTTATAAGTATATAATATATAGAAATATAACTCTTATAATTTATATTTAACTTTATTAATTAAGTTTATTTTTAGAACTTAACCTACCTTTAAGCTAGATAGTCTACTATATACTACTTACTATAACTCTTTTACTATAAGCTTTACTTAGTAATAGCTTACTAATCTAGATAACCTACTTATCTCTAAGAACTAATAGAATTAGTACTTATAGTCTTTAACTAAAGTATAACTTTAATAATAAGCTTATAAAAAAGCTCTTAAATAAAGTAAATATATAGCTTACTATCTAGGCTATCTAATAAAATATAATACTTTTCTAGTAATATACTATAGCTATCTATAAAATTTCTTAAAGCATGCTTAGTATATACCTTGCTAGAGCCTCTCTATAATATAATTATAAGCTTAAATTAATAAACTAATAAGTACTAAAAAAAAGGTAATTATTTAATATATTCTAAAGCGAGATAAGTAAAGATACCTACTCTAGCTTACTAATATAGAAAATATAGCTAACTCTCTACTTACTAAATATAACTAGCTTTTTATTAGTAAGAACTAGGCTAGTATATATATTAAGTATTGCTTAGAGCTTAAAGTTAAGTTTAATTAAAAGTATAACTATAAAAGAGCCTTTTCTAAAAATTCTAAGATAATATAGAGCTAGTTTAGCCTTATAGCTAATATTAAAGCTAAGTATAGTATTATAGATAAAGATATATATAACTTTAATAAGACTAGCTTTATAATAGGTTAGATTAGCTCTAGAGTAGTTATTATAGATATAGAAAAGCTAGAATAAGCAAAGTAGGTCTAGCTAGGTAATAAGGAGTAAGCTATATTAATTTCTAGTATTAATACTACTAGATAGGCTATTCTACTCTTTATTATCTTTAAAAGCAAGACTTACCTTTTTAACTAGTATAAAGATAAAAGAGTACTTTTAAACTAAGTTATTAGAGTCTCTATAAATAGCTAGACTAATAATAAGCTTAGTATTAACTAGTTAAAGTACTTTAATAAGTATACTAAGAAGTAGACTTTTAGAACTTACTATTTACTACTTATAGATAGTTATAAAAGCTACTAGTTAGTAGTATTTATCTAATACTATAAAAATAATAAGATTATTACTTTTATAATACCTATATACTTATTATACCTCTTATAGCTACTTAATATAGGTTATTTTACTTCTTTAAAGTCGAAGTAGTTATAGGTATTAAGTTAATAAGCTCTTATATAACTAGATTAACTATATAAATAAGTAGTTATTCTTAGTATACTTTAAAGTAGTATATAATATAATAATAACTTCTAGTAAAACTTAGAAAGAGTTCTAAGGTACTAGACTAGTTTTTTTTAACCTAGAATAGGTTATATTAACCTTTAATATAAAGCTATGCACTTTATTACTATAACTACCTACTAATAATAAGCTCTAGTAGTTTTAAACTTTTAAAAACCTAATTAAATTTAAGTTATAATTAACTATAATTTAAAATAAGTAATATACTCTATAGGTAAGTAGATTAATAGGTAAGTAAATTACTTTTGCTAAGCCCCTACTAAAACTTAACCTATTATAGCCTAAAATACTATACTTTAGTTCTGCATAGTATAGTATAGGCTAGAATATTATTTAGAGACCTCTTCTATATTAATCTTGCATATTTACGTGTTATATTCTGTCTAATTGCACCTTCTATAGCACTGTTAGGTTAGCTTACCCTCTTAAGTGCGCACCTGCTTCTTTGCCCTCTTCCTATTACTACGCGCCCTAAACTCCTTTAGAGCTGCTAGCTACTGCCTATCTTTAACTATTAGGGTCCCTTCCTTCTAAACTTGCTTTCTTTTATATAATTTTTATTATATAGTAGCTTTATTAGCTGCTTAAAGCTCTTTAATTTTCTATTAAGCTAAAACTAGCTTATAGGATAAGATTACTCCCCTCTTTATATAGTGCTTAAGCGCGCTTAGAATAGAATTTAGTAAGCTGCCCTGCTACCTCTTATACTTCTCTTAAATTAGAGTTAACTATAACCTAAATTCTAGAGTGTTACTAAAGGTTTATAACTGCTAGAGTATGTTATTAGTAGGGAGTAGTAGTAATAAAGTCTAAAGCTTTATATTAAGGGCTAATATAACCTATTCTAGGTTAAAGGGGACTAATCTAGTACCTTAAAACCCTTCTTAGATATTGCTAGAGGTAAATACTATATTATAGGCTACTTTAAATTATAGTAGGAACTTAGTCTTTATAATATAGCTAATTTAGTTGCGTATAAGTAATTTAGCTTAGTGCCTATATACTATCTTTAAAGGGGCAAAATGGCCTATATTAAGTAGCTATAGAAGGTATAATAAGTATAGAGGCATATATAGAGTAATAATCTTGTTATTCTTATAGTATTTCTAGAATTAGAGTAATTTATAGCTCTTATAGCTGTTAATAACTAGTAGTTAGTAGGTACTAGCAGTACGCTCCTTTATATGCGCGTTAAAGTGCTTTAACTACTTAAAACTAAGCTTATTAGTAGTCTAGCTATTACTAGAGACTATAATAACCTAATCCTAGAGTAGGTCTTCCTCCTTATACTAGCTAGAGAGGTAGTAGCGCGCCTTAAAGATAATAAAGGGTAGAATAGCCTATCCTTTAGCATTAATACCCTATATAACTATTGCCTACTCCTAGTTACCTAGCTAGACTGCCTTTAGCCTTCCTTATCTCTCTAAAGCTATAATAACTACTCTCTAGAAGATCTAGCCTATTATAAAGCCTATCTTGTTAAAGTTATATATATTATTATCTAGGATACTATACTTAGCTTTTATATTTTATACTAGAGAAAACTAGC